TTTTACATACAAACTTACTAATAGTATAAATGCGAAAGTTACGATTTTTGGATGTTTGTGTCTCAATCACGCAAAAACGGCTAGGCGGATCTGGATGAAATTTGGCACAGGCATAGAATACACCCCGGAATAGGCTACTTTTTATCAACATACAAACTAGCTTCCACGCGCGGTTTCGCCCGCGTGGAAGTTAGTTTGTTCATACACCGACTGAAATCTGCCCTTTACACCCATCAAAAAAAATACCACATTTTGTAAGATCCAAAAAAACATATTCGGTTTGTTCCCTCATTCAAATCCACACATTGATATCCAATAACTTGAAAAATAATCACCAAACTACAACAGTAAGGCTAGGTACATTCTGCTGTCACTCAGAACTGTCAGTAAATAAAATAGATGGCGCCACTTGCACACTTAATGACAGTTCCGAGTACATTAGAAAAGATTCTTTACTTCGATATGATTTTAAATTTCTAAAAAAAGTTACTTAAGCTACACGAACAAAACAAAAAGTTATAATTATCAATCAGTTTTATTCACATGTTCAACTTATTACTAGACTTAACACAACCAATAGAAAGAAATAAAGTGGAAAAAAACAATATTACTATACATTTCAAGTTAGTTAACGATATAACGTCAGAAATAACCTTATGCATACATTGTAACTGAATCAAGAAATACAATAAAACAGTATTAATAAAGATTTTTAAGCACACCAGATTGCGCTAATCCAGCTTGAGATCATGTCCAACATTTTTTTTTTTAATATCAGACCATTTACAAGTAAAATATTTGTTCTCTAAGGTCTGTTAGTTAGTTAGTAATATTTTTAATAGTCAGATAAATGTTGTCTGAGGAAAAAAATGTTGCTGTCACTGTCTTATACAAATATTCTAACGCGACAGCATCATAATTATTCCCCAAGTGACTTTTATCTAACCATTGAAAAATCAGACCTAACTTGATTAATCAAATGGAAAAACTAAAATGGCAATTTTGGAAAGCTTTAATTGTAAAAATAAGTTTTTTAAGTACCCCGTATTTAGATTGAGGTGTGTAAAAAAATCACATACAAAGTTGAAAGCGCATTCTATCAATTAATTCACCAAACCATTCACGTTATCTTGGTAACGCCGGCGTTGGCGAACCTATTGTTCTTTTGTTTCGTCTCGAATTACCATGATTAAAATGTTTTAGACCTATATTTTCACTTGACAAGCAAACAAAAATTTTGACTATAATCTCACGCTAGATTAACGCCATCTATTGAACAAAAAACTGTAGTCTTAATTTCATTCAAAGACTGTTAATTGACTGACATTGATGGCATTCCATCTGACGGATTGTCGTTGAAAATATTTATTTCTTTATCTGCTTACCAAATTAACTGACTGCAAGGTCGAGCATAAGTGTAGTTCTTCCATTCACATGATGAAATAAATACATATTCTTATAAAAACAGATCATAAACAGATTAAACATATTGGAAGACTTTAACTTTAAATATTTGAAAAAAACGAACATAACCTCAAAATAGATAAATCAACTACGATAAAGTTAGGGCAGATTTTTCTATGGTTTGATAAAAGTTACCTAGGGAATAATTATGATGCTGTCGCGTCAGAATGTTTGTATAAGACAGTGACAGCAACAATTTTATACCTCAGATAACATTTATCTGACTATTGAAAAATCTGCCCTTAGGGTGCCAAGTCGCTATAACAAACGTCCAGTCATACCTTCCAGATTTGGTAGACATTAAAAAAATACACACTTTTTCTTCAAAATTTTATGTCAGAATCTGTGTATGTCATTTGAGAACACAAGATCGTGGACATGAGTCTCGATTCGCGTTAAAGTCCAATAAAAAAAACAAGTTAGTTTTACATGAACACAATAGCAACGTCACCGAGTATAGCCCTTTGATTGGTTGGTTACATTGGAGCGAGCCAATCAGAGCTCCGAACGTCATAGAAAACGTTAACGTCAAGCAAGCTTACATTATTCACTACAACCGTAAGTTTTTAAAAAGAAAATGAAAAAGAAAATCTTTTGGCAATAAGCCTTACTACGTCTTTCTATAGCCATTTATAAAAAAACCAACTCAAATAAAATAAAACAATTAAAATCGACAGTCATATTTGTGGTAGCAAAAAATCTAAAATTCAAACTAATATTATAAATGCGAAAGTAACTCTGTCTGTCTGTCTGTATTTTCTTCACGCCTAAACTTCTGAACCGATTTCTGTGAAATTTGGTACAGACATAGTTTGGAACTCAAGAAAGGACATAGGATAGTTTTTATACCAAAAATCTACTGGAAGTCACTATTCCACGCGAACGGAATCGCGGACAAAAGCTAGTAGGTAATATTTGAGAATTTTTTTATTGAGTCTCATATATATAAAACCGCGTTTTATATCGCTTAGGTGTAGACTGAAGAGCATAATTAATATAAAACCAGTTTGTGACAGATACATAATATTTTTAAACACATTACAACGAGCGATTAGGTATCCCTAAGAATTCTTAACACCAAAAAAATTGCCAGACTAAAGATCTAAAATAAGAAGTATAGTGTTTATTTAAGAATAAATTCTTGAAAACAAATTAACCTGACACCAAGCCTTTTCATTTAAAAAAAAGACAGTCTTTACATATTATTGTAAAACTGAACCCAACTTTTGAACAAGACAGGTAATAAAAAAGAGTGGGTAAAAGTTTATAAATATATTCGAAATTACAGGAGATATTTAAGAGATAGATCAATAGAGATTTGTAGAAGTAGATTCATAGTAAAACAATATTTTGAGCACAACATAGTCGTTTATATGTCCAAGTGACATAAGGGCCTCATTGAAGACGCGACGCGTTGCGCGGGTTTCGTGATACATTGCTTTTAATGTTATTATATCATGATCGATAGCGCGGTGTACAGCAGCAATGTACATCAAACGAAAATCGCGCCACGCATCGCCCCGCGTGTTTGAAAACAAGGCCTAATCGTAAGTAAAAAACCGTTCATTTGAAACTAGATGTTAATACAGTTGATATAACGTCCAATTTCAACAATCTATTACACTATAAATTTGCTTAGTAAAGAAATAATTTTGAAACATTTTGCTTTTAGCTTAGTGACCGAAATTAATAACATTATGTAGACTTTTTAAGACGTTGCCCCACATTAGAATTTACTCCAGTATCGTGAGTGCGTTTACAAACATACAATTTCACATACACATCACACCCAGACCCGGAACAACGATTCGGGAATCGCACAGAGTTTCTGACACAAAAAAAAACATGTTGACAGATTTTATGAAAAAATGGTTTTTAATTCATACCATATCTCAAGTAATCAGATCTACATAAACTATTTATTACTTTCGGCCGCTAAACTTGCTACACAAAGAAAATAACAAAAGCAACATTTCTTATTACGACGACATTATTTTTTAAAACCATTTCTAGAATACCAATATACAAATATCCAGACACGTCAAATATCAAAGACCACAGAATATACAGAAAAAAAATCTCTCATGTCAAAATTGACGTTTTGTTTTTTTTGTAACCTTTTTTATATGCGGGGACTTATTTTTGGCATGCAACGCGACGTAACGCAATAAACAATTTTGCTAATGATAATAATTGCTTAGATGGAATTCAGGTGTCTCTTTCATACACAATGCCCATAAGTTTTTTTATGGCATGGGTCGGCAAACGCGCAAACGGATTACCTGACATAAAATTCAATCAACGCCACCCATGGACACTCGCAATATCAAAGCAGTTACTACGAGGGTGTTTCCGGCTCTTGTAGTTTGTTAGGGATTTACGGATAGAGGATGGGATGAGGGAGGATTTGGCATCTGGTAGCCTCACTCACACAACCTAAGTATTGCTTCACGTCGGTTTTCTGTGAGACCGTGGTATCACTCCGGTTGAGCTGACCCATTCGTTGCCAAAGCATGGCTTTCTCACACTTAAATTTCACATTTTTTACTATATTATTCAAAACCTTTTGTTTCAAATTCTGATAAACTACAAAATTGTCGCGTTGCATGTCAACATAAGTCTCCAATTTCGATATTACATACATACATCAAAACACCTACAGTAAAAACTGCATCAAAAAAATATTTCATATTTTCCCTTTCATTAAACATTTCATGTTGTATAAAAAATCTCATTCAGTACAATATCTTCTTTATCCGGAATGTTAGACTGTATAGATGGGGTATGATGGCACTTGCTTCAAATCCTCCGAAGGGGTAAGTAAGCTGAGGTAACGGTAAAGCGGGGTGAATAGACACAGAAGAGGAGTAAATAGATACAAGGAAAATTCGCCAACATATTATATTCACCCCTTTCGTGTATCTATTTACCCCTTAAATTCTATTTACCCCTTAAATTCTATTTACCCCTTAAATTCTATTTACCCCTTAAATTTTTTTTACCCCTTTAATTCTATTTACTCGTTTTTACGGTATTTAGAACAGACACTCATATTCCACTAGTGATTTTAGGAGTATTTTTGTTATTCAATATAATCAATTGCAAACTTACTTCTAACTGATTACAAGGCAGTGTAAGATCATCTCAGATTCAGTATTTGGCTTCAACAAAGTCTTATATAACTAAAAGATTTAGAGAAAAATTGATAAAAAATACATTTAACAAACTTTTTCGAGAACAAAGGTAAATAAATGTATTTTTTACCTTCGTTTTTAGAAGGTAAATACAATAGTATACGGCGAAACGGGTAAAATAGACTTCGAGGGGTACATAGACGCAGAAGAGGGGTAGATAGAAACTGAGAAAATTCGCCAACATATATTTACCCTTTTTGTGTAACATATATTCACCCGTAAAACTCTATTTACCCCATTTTACGGTTTAGTGGTTTCTGTAATGATTATAAATGTCATAGCAATTAATAAATTTTGAAGCAAGCTCATTCAATGCCCACTATACCTACTAAGACTTAAAACTTACTGTCCCTGTTTTTGTTGACTCTTCTGCTGTGCTCTTACGAATTCCGGATAATCTATATAACCATCCCTATTATGATCGTCCATATTTAAAATGGGATCGATTAAATTCACTAATTCGTCATCGCCAAAGATTTTTTCGCCAACCGGCGGTGTTCCGGCTTGAGGCGCCTGTTTGTGTCCTTGTTCTTGAGTTTAAAAAGTTGAAACGTCAAAGTGACAGTTGACGTTTGATTGACAGATGACAGTTGAAAGTTGACAGTTTTATTTTTTAATTTAGATAGTGGTGTTTTTAGTTTTTTGTGTATGTAAGGTTTATTGTTTGCCGATGCGATGATTTTTCGAATTGATGATGGTGGCGTGACAATGGCGGTATAACCCCAAGCGGCAGCGACGATACACATAGAAAAGGAGACAAACACACACATGAGAACGTAGTTACAAACAGTTATACCTTATTTACACTGTACATTCAAATAGTATTTGCCATTTTTTTAAGTTTCAGATAGTATATAACTAAAATTAATTTGTGGTGACACACTTAGAAAATAGACGATAAAACAGAAATCCCACATCACACCAGTCAAGTTCGCGCGTATGAACATGAATAGAAAATCCTTAAGTTACAATTGTTACGGAGTAACCCGCAAGGTATCATTACCTCGCCTAGTCGTAGGATACCCCTTTTTCTTTTTAAGAGAAATATACTCTTTACGTCCTTAAATGTTACTAGACATTCGGGGAAATTTACGACCTGCAGTTGTAAATTATAACAAATACAAATTCACTTTTGTCAAAGTAAAAATGGCAAATGCGTATTTAAACAAAATTATTTTCCATTACATAGAAAAAAAAAATTAAATTCTTGTACATGTACCTAGATGTAGGTATGTCACATAACTTACCTACTTTGCTTTTTTATATTATAGAACTAATTCTATTCATTCAGAATGGAAAATAATTTTCTATTTAATATGTTTAAAACAAATCACCACCACCCTGTATTTAAATAATTCTACCACTCTATAAAAATATGTTAAAGAGATATTCCCATTAAAATTAACTTTTAATCCAAAACGTCTACGACTCCAATAATTAATTAAATAACTTATCGAGTATCTCAAGCTCCGGAACTGCTAAGAAAAACTAATCCATTAATAACCAATGCCGATTATTTAAAATTTCTAAAAAAATCCCGAACTTATATTCCCAACAGGCATCCCCAGTTCCTGTTTACAACAGAGTATTTACGAGATCCCGATCCATACTCGTATTCCCGTTCCATTCTCGTATTCCCAACCCCAAAAATGAAATCCCGTGATCCTTGTCCCTAGAAAAATTAACGAGATCCCGTTCCCAGTCGGGATTCCCGTGTTCCAATAATGAATCCCGTATTCCCGTTCCCAACGGGAATTCGAAATTCCAGTTCCAAATAGGGATTCCCGAATTAAAACAGTTCATAACCACGGGAAACATCTACTATCAATTCGTATAAAAAAGTTAGTACGTAACATTGTGACGCTAATCCAAGCTAATATTATAAATACGAAAGTAACTCTGTCTGTCTATCTTTTCTTTACGCCTAAACTACTGAACCGATTTCTATGAAAATTGGCACAGACATAGTTTGGAACTCGATAAAGGATTTAGGATAGTTTTTGCAACCAAAAATCCGCAGGAAGTCACTATTCCACGCGAAGGAAGTCACGGGCGGAAGATAGTATATTATATGTTTAAAAACTCACCGTGCCAATGTATAAGTGACTTGATCAGCTCACATCCATCCAGCTTGTTATTATTATCAGCGTCATGCATCTTGAAGTAGTGGAACTGTAGCTCTTGTTCCGACATTTTCGATGTATCTATTGGAACTTCCATATGTTCCTGTATGTGGCTGGAATATTAAAATAAATATGGTTAGTATCAATGCTAGGTGAATGGTGAGGTATTTTTTGATATTCCTAAAAAATAACATCCTATTTATTGGATGTGGTGCAATTTGATACCTGATTTTGGACAAAAAATCTTTATATATAAAAATGGATCGGTAAGCGCATAACTCAACAACGCCTGGACCAATTTTGCCAATTCTTTTTTTTGTTGTGTTTGTTATTATCAGGAGAAAGTACTTATCAAAGAAAATATTAGAAAAGTAGAGGGGAAGATTAGGAAAAAGTGACCCTTTGATAGCGAGACCGTTGGACCCGTACGACGCGGTGGGGGGAGGGAACGCTAGTTTACTATAACTTTTATTAGTCTTTCACACAAACACGGCTAGAGAGATGTGGTTGAAATTTGGTATGTAGATATGTGAAACCCTGGATTAACACATAGGCTGGTTTTTATCAACTTAAAACGCGGTCGACGGCACTGACGGTAGCCAGTATTCAACAAATCAGCGCTGTGTTTCGCCGTGTGATTACCTGAAGCACAATCCCTCTTATTTCCTAAATCTCCAAAATCCCTAATCCCCTAAAGACCGGCAACGCGATCGTAACTATCCGGTATTGCAGGTGTCCATGGGTGGCACTGATTGCTTACCATCAGGTAATCCCTCTAAAATTTCTCTAAGTTACTATTGAAAAAGAAATCTTATATACAAAGGGGTTATGTTCAAATTGTATAATTTTAAAAAGACTCACTCTCTTTCCTGAGCAATGTTAGCCGGGTTAAGAAGTTGAGGATCTGAAAACCAACAAGACCACATAATGAATCAGAAATTGGAAGGAAAACTGAATAAAATCGCCATCTTTATAGGTATCTTATATATAAAAATGGATCGCAAAATGTGTTGGTAAGCGCATAACTCAACAACAACTGGACCAATTTAGTTAATTCTTTTTTTGTTGTATTTATTATGGCCAGGAGAAGGTTCTTATCAAAGAAAATATTACTAAAGTAAAAGGGAAAATTGGAAAAAACTGATCCTTTTGTTGTAAGGATAGTAAGACCCGTGCGAAGCGAGACGGGCCGCTAGTAATTTATAGAATCAGTCGTTACTTTGCGGAAATCCATGACATTGAATGTTATGGGCGCAATCCATTGTCCATCTTCCAATTCCCCATTCCTATGAATTGGAAATTGAGAGACTTGGCGATTTGGACATTCTATACTTATAGATATTATAAAGAGGTAAAGTTTGTAAGTTTGTATGTAGGGGGTAATCTTTAGAACCGCTGGTCGGATTAGCAAAATTCTTTCATTGATAGATAGCTACAATATTCCTGAGCGCTATATGCTATAAAACATCACGCTACGATCAAATAGAGCCTAGCAGCGGGTGAAACCGCGCGAGGGTAGCTAGTTTTGGGATATGCGGATATCTCCAAATATCACTAAAAGTCCGGCAACTCACTTTTAACTGCAGTGTAGGCATGGAAATGGGCGCATCCAATTGCTTACCATCAAGTGATCCGTATGATCCATTCAAAACTTTTTGACTGCACGGTTGGTGCGGTGGCTGGGCAACTGGCAGCCGTGCAACGTGTCGCGGGTTCGATTCCCGCACGGAACAACTCTTTGTGTGATCCACTAATTGTTGTTCCGGGTCTGGGTTTCATGTGTATGTGAAATTGTATGTTTGTAACCGCACCCACGACACAGGAGAAAATCCTAGTGTGGGGCAACGTTTTAAAAAAAAAAAAAAAAAAAAAAAAAAAAAAAAAAAAAAAAATATATATATTTCCTTTATTCTAGGAACGAAGCCATTTAGGCTACTAAACTTATAGAAAAACATGTTTTTAAAACTACCTCCATGGTGAGCATGTCCATGCTGTTGTTGAGGGGGCTGTTGCTGGAACTGTTGTGGCGGTTGTTGTTGTTGCTGGTACTGTTGTTGTTGTTGCTGTGGGGGTGGGGGAGGGGGCTGGTATTGTTGCTGTTGTTGGGGGGGAGGCGGCTGTTGGTACTGCTGTTGCTGTTGGTACTGTTGCTGAAAGGATTAAAACAAGGAAATGACTAACGTGACATTTGATAAGGGTTCATTAGAGTGCATATCTATACTAATATTATAAAGAGGTAAAATTTGTAAGTTTGTATGTAGGGGGTAATCTTTGTAACCGCTCTGGTCCGGTTTCCGAAATTCTTCCACAGATTGATAGCTACAATGTTCCTGAGTGAAACCGCGCGGGAGTAGCTAGTTTTCTATAAAAACTCAAATTATTTATTTTAAATAGACCACTACCTATAACACTTTTAAAAGTTGAACAAAAAAGTAATAACATCAAAATGTTCAACTTTGTTTGTCAGTCTGTCAGTCAGTGTTAGTGAATCTATTTGCTCTTTCCAAATTGTAGATTCCGATGGAGAAGAACGAGAAAGAAACTCCATGGTTACTGAATAACTTTACACTGAATAACCGGATACGTGGGGCTAGCGCAATAAGGTAACGCGGTCTTGGCCTAAAGCAAGAGGAGGAACGGGGGGAGGAGGATTTTGATTTTGGATTTTTTACAAAATAGTTGGCGCCGTATCGGTATATAAAGCTTGCACTGATTGTAGTATATCATATACTGATATTCAAAAAAAGCTCGTTAATAGATATTGTGAAACAATGAATTTATTTTTGCTACGCCATAAATCATCACGTCAAAATTATATAAAAAAAATTATGAATCCGGCATTTCCTATCTGACTATTCTGTGAAGAAATGCGGAAACAGACTCAGACGCCAGGTCTATCTCTATTAAAGTCCATAAAATTTAAAAAAATTATAACATAATATGTGAGAAGCGTACAAGTTCATTCTATTATGGTCTTTTGAGGAAAGACCCACACCAGTTTAAGTGGACCCGTTCTGTAGAACACGCAAGTATCAGTTTACAGCCAATTCAACTAACGGGTGTTGCTGAGTATTTCGACGAACAATACCGATCAAAAGAACATTAAAATTAAATGATGAACTTACCTGTTGAGGTGGGGGCGGGGGAGGCGGCTGTTGATAGTTCTGTAAAAATAAGAAAACGTGCAATTAACATCACACACTAGGACAGCAGCATATAGGTGCCCACTGCTGAGCAACGGCCTCTTCACACACGGAGAAGGTTTTTTTTGTAATAAGTCGGCAAACGAGCAGACGGGTTACCTGATGGTAAGCAATCAACGCCGCCCATGGACACCCGCAACGGAGGAGTTACGAGTGCGTTGCCGACCTTTTAGGGATTAGGGATTTGGAGATTTAGGGATTGGGGAAAGGTCCGGGAAGGGGAAGGATTGGGCCTCCGGTAACCTCACTCACACGGCGAAACACAACGCCGAGGTTGTTTCACGCCGGTTTTCTATGAGGCCGTGGTATCACTCCGGTCGAGCCGACCCATTCGTGCTGAAGCATGGCTCTCCCACACTTAGAGGTTCAAGTATTAAGGGCCTACGCGCCTTTTAAGCCGTAAAAACGTACATTCTAAAGCCCATTCCTCATTAACGGTTGGGTGTAATCATCATCATCATCAGCCTATAAATGCCCACTGCTGAGCAAAGGCCTCTTCTCACACGGAGAAGGTTTGAGCATTAATCACCACGCTTGCTCAATGTGGGTTGGCCATTTCAAACTTACAATTAGAAATTATAAGTCCAGGTTTCCTCAAGATGTTTACCTTCACCGTATGTCAGTGGTGTCTAAATAATCATAGAAAGTACATATAACTCGAAAAAAGTCACATTGGTACTTGCCAGGTTTCGAACCCACACCCTCAGGCATGAGAAGCGGGCTCCTCAACCTCCGGGCCACCACGACATAAAGTTGGTTGGGTGCACAGAACAGAAAATTAAGTAGAAGTGCCCCTACACTCTTTCAAAAGGAAAACCAGTGTCGCCAAAATCACACATTCGCAAATCAAATTGTCCATTACACACGTGGTTGGGTGTAAAGATTGAAAAATATATATGTTTACTGTACATTCATGTACCTACTACAATGTTAGTAAATTTATGGCAAATAGTTAAGCTGTAAAAAATATTTACCAACACGATATTTTGTTCAAATAAATGCCTATTCCTTCTCAATGGCTTGGTTTATTTTTTTTCTTTTTTATTAGGTTAACCGGTGTTAAATTTTACTACAAAGTGGGCAGCACTCATGCAAATCAGTCAATATTCTACAAAGAACATGTTATATTATTGGGATTTCTATGTTTTTAACAAAAAATATTATGTAAGTACTGTAAGGCTGTGATAAATCCTATTATTAATACTAATATTATAAAGAGGTAAAATTTGTAAGTTTGTATGTAGGGTGTAACCTTTGGAACCGCTTGTCAGATTGCCAAAATTCTTTCACTGATAGATATCTGCAATGTTCCTGAGTGCTATAGGCTAAAAACATCACCCTACGATTAAAAGGGAGCAAAGCAGCGGGTGAAACCGCGCGAGAGTAGCTAGTATAATATACGAGTTTATATGTTTTAATGTATTTATTATCATTTTACAATTTACACACTAGTAATATGACCGCTAAAAAGGCAATTAAGTAATTTCTTTAAACTTTATGTTTACAGTTAATTACACAATTAAAAAACGATAAAAAATAAATAAATTACCAACCACTTAATTATATTGTCATAATTGGAACCGCTGGTCGGAATTCCAAAATTCTTTCACTGATAGATAGCTACAATGTTCCTGAGTGCTATAAGCTATCACGCTAAGATTAAATGGAGCCGAGCAGCGGGTGAAACCGCGAGGGGGTAGCTAGTATTGTCCTCAGAATACAGAACAATCTGTATTCTATGGTATTGTCATAAAGTCGAAAATGTTGTTTCAAATTTATTGAAAACTAGCGGCCCACCCCCGCTTCGCACGGGTCAAACTATCTCCCTAACAATGAAAGGGTCCCTTTTCCCCAATTTTCCCTTTACTTTTCTAATATTTTCTTTCATAAGAACCTTCTCCTGACAATAATAAATACAAAACAATTTTGTAAAAAAATTGGTCCAGCCATTTTTGAGTTATGCGCTTACCAACACATTTTGCGATCCATTTTTATATTATAGATTAGTGTTTCGTTTATTATCTATACTAATTACAACATAGTATAACACAAAGTCGTATTCTCTGACCCTATATCCCTATGTAAGCTAAAACCTTTAAAACTACGCGACGGATTTTGATGCCGTTTTTTGAATTGATAGAGTGACTCAACACGAAGTTTAAAAATTAAAAAAAAAAAATTAAAATTTCTTTATTTCAGACCCATAATAGTCCATAGATTGTTAATGTATTAGTTACCAATAAGTTCCTATGTACTATATTAGTATTGTTAGTAATCTATAGCTAATTCCACCCAGTGTCTCTGTATCGGACAATCCGGCCTATCAGTAATCATTTTCAGGATGCTGTTACGAGTTTAACATGTATAATAACATAAAGAAAGAAAGAAAGAAAGAAAGAAAGAAAGAAGAAGAAGAAAGAAAGAAATAATTGTATTTGCACAACCTGGACAAAGATACAAAAGTAGGAGCAATAGGAACATCTATTAAATAGTGTAGAAATTAAGTCTCAACATTGCACCCGTGCGAAGCCGGGGCCGGAGGCTAGTATTATTAAGCTAAAGAGTTTGTTTGAACGCTCGAATCTCCGGAACTGTGTACTGGTTCGAATTACACAATTCTTTTTGTGTTAGATATGGCTATTTATTATCTGTTAGCATATGCTTTTTTAAATGTGATAGATCGGCAAACGAGAATGCGGATTACCTGATGGTAAGCAATCAGTGCCGCCCATGCAACGCCAGAGAAGTTACGAGTGCGTTGCCGATCTTTTCTGGGCCTCCGGTAACCTCATTCACACGGCGAAACACAACGCTGTGGTTGTTTCACACCGGTTTTGTGACCTTCGGACATTCCGGCGTACGGCGAATATCCACCCTTACGTTGTTGAGACACCTGCGGCCCGGACTAAGCGTTTTGCCTCGTCATTTATACCGCGTACATCGAGGGATTGGAACAGTTTGCCGGCTGCAGTCTTTCCGTCCGAATACAATTTAGGTGTCTTCAAGGCTAGAGTGAATATAAAAAAAGGCCGTGGTATCACTCCGGTAGAGCCGACCCATTCGTGCCGAAGCATGGCTCTCCCATACTTGTGGCCTGTTTCTTGTGCGTTATTATGACACTAGCATATTTGTTTAGACAACCAAGACAATGTATTCAACCGAATGAAATCATACAACAAATAAAAATAAACTTTATATGTCTGTACTTAGAACTGTGATTACAATAAAATAATTTTGCTAACACAGCAATACGTTTAAGAATTTGCCAAGTAACTTCCTATGAGTCGAGAGTGTTGTTATTTTGTCACGTATTTTCTCAAGAAATTATTGTTAATACTTTATAACGAACTTTTCTTCTGTTTTAATACATACACGAATGAGAGATCGAGGCTGACTGGATCTCATGTCAGATTCCCATCTACCTATACTAATATTATAAGGAGGTAAAATTTGTAAGTTTGTATGTAGGAGTAATCTTTGGAACTGCTGGTCGGATTTCCAAAATTCTTTCACTGATAGTCTAGCTACAATGTTCCCGAGTGCTATAGGCTATAAAACATTACGCTACGAACAAATGGAGCCGAGCATCGGGTGAAACCGTGAGAGAGTAGCTTGTGTCGAAATAAGAAGACAGAAATGGTATGACGTTTTTAAAAAATGAAATAGTTTTTAATTTTCTAAGAGGAACTGGGAATCGCTTCATGATTCTGCGAAGCAATGATGCTCGCAAAAGAGGAGGCCGAGCGCATGAGGGAGCTATCCTCCTCAGGTTTTAGTCGCCGCAACAGGCGACACTATGGGCGTCAGGTATCGAGACATGATATCCGGCCATCTAAGGACTGCGAGCAAGAAGGACGCGCGACCAAAACCAGACCCGAGCGCGCCTCATAGAGACAATAGACCACCACAGATAGGGCCCTACTAACAGAGCCGATGTTCAGTCGGGGTTGAGGGGCAAGCGCAATATTGAACCGCGGCCTCGGCTTCGAGCAGGAGAAGGATCGGGGGGTTTTTAGCTAATAAGAGTCTGACACTCTCTCGCCTAACCTTACCCTGGACGAGAGGAATCATATGATAGTTTTCTCATCAAAAAATTAATCTTTATAAGCATAATAAAAATTTCGTGTCACGTGTTTGTCCGCGATGGACTACTAAACTACTAAACCGATTTTAAAAGAAAGATAGTATAGCTTACATCTCAATTTATAGTCACAATATTATTTTATTGCAAATTATTTGTCCATATGTAATATGACTAAAAACTTAGCCAAAGCAACACGTGGCTGGGTCTGCTAGTAATATTTAAATTATAATTGTTCCAAAAACATAATTCTATTTGTGCCCCCCAACAGTTCTGTATGCCAACGGCCCCTAGATTCTGCCGACTCTGTCCCTAACTAAAGTTAAAAAGTAGAATCTTTAATTGTTTTCCAATCCAAGGTCCAAGGTACCAGAGCTATGAAGAAGTGATTGAACCATACACTGAGATGACTAACATGTTAAAATTTAATATAGGTAAAATTTGTTACAACTGATAAAAGTATTGTAATGTTTGAAAAAACATTATTATATCCGTGAATGTGTGACATAACACAAAATAAATGTAATAATACATTTTAGATTTGATTTCTACTTCTAGAAAATTTTTAAATTGAAAAAGAGTAACCATGGAGTTTCTTGCTCGTTCTCCATAGGAATCTACTTTGCAAAGAGCAAATAGCTTCACTAGAGGACGGACGGACAGACTGACACACTTAAATTTTAAAGCTCTTGAAATACATTTTTCTTTTTTTTGCTTGACATTCAAAAGTGCCTACTGTGGTCTAATTGAAATAAATGATTTTGACTTTGACTTTGACTTTTATCATCATCATCATCATCATCATCATCATCATCATCATCATCATCATCATCATCAAGTAAGAATTCTTAGCTGATCTCATGTACTACAAACACAATCTTCTTTTGATCGCATTATACAATTCTACATTAAAACGGTTTAGCTAAAATTTCTATGGCTGACAAGCAGGTTAGAGGACTACATAGTATAAAACAAAGTCACTTTCTCTGTCCCTATATCCCTATGTACACTTAAATCTCTAAAGTATTGCATACTGCAACAGATTTTGATACTGTTTTCTTTAATGAAAATAATAATTAAAGAGAAATGTTTATAAGTATGATAACATCCATTAAATATTGGAGATATTTAATAACAGCATTGCATCCATGCAAAAGCTAGGGCAGATTGCTTGTATTATGAAAAAATTAATCATAAAATGTTTTGATGCCTAACTCAATAATGCCTGGATCAATTTAGGCAATACTTTTATCATTTGTTATACTCAAAAAAAATTATAGTAAGAAGCTCCTACAAAAAAAAAGGTAGGTATAAACATAGAGCAGAAAATCGGGAAAATAAGTCATGACAAACCACCAGTATTAGATAAAATGGTGTGTACAATATCACAGATTGTATTTATAAATTAATGTCAACCTCATAAATATTTAACATTTCCAATCTGTTTCAATTTATACATAAGAAAAACCTAATTTATTAATTCATTGATATTCTGTTGACCTTGTATTAAATACTAAAATTACTAGGATATACATTTTAACATTACCTACTTCATTGTGTAATTAGAAAAAAACTAAGTAAGTATGATTAAAGAATCTGCCACGGTATGCCATGGAATTAACAAATATTTAAAATAGGAATGTTCATGAAAGTTGAAATTTTTATAAATAAAAGTTCCTGGTGTATTATATCGACAAAAAAATAATCTCAACATTTAAGATTAGGCATAGCTTGTGCCTACCATAGTACAAGTGACAGCAACTTTCACTTTTTTCAAATTATTAGGCAAAACAACTACATCCATTCTGCCTATGAGAATATGGATATAGACATAAAAATATGAATAAAACTAACCTGATAATTCTGTGGAGGCACTCCGGGGGCTACTTTTTGCTGATATTGTTGGGATATAGTGCACTGCAGCAATGCAGCCAAAAATAAAAGCCTCAACATTGTGAAATCTGAAAAACAAACACGAACTTTCAATACACGTGAACGAAAACTAATCAAACAACTTTTTTTTTTAAATTAACATTTACCGCGTCAGGCTAAGACAAGTGGTAATAAAAGGAAAATTATTTTTTTTAGTAAAAAGTCGGCAAAAATGGACTGTGTGGAATATTAATTTTTACCTGTGAATGTAAAGTTGTGACGTGGACTATGGGCGATAATATCCTTATCGAATCGATGTATTGATAATAATTTAATATATTCACCGTATGTCGATGTGTATCGCAGACGTTTTCAAAAAGATACCTGTCTGGGAATACCTACACGTCACGTCATTATTCATAACATGACAATGACGTTAGCGACTCGTTTCACTCAACTATATTTGTTAATACGTGTTGATTTTACAAAAGTTTTTATTGATTGATTAAAATATAAGCACCTAACTTTAATGTGTAACCTTATTTTTTCCTTAATAGTAATAATATAGCATTAATGATACCTATATTATGTACCTATATTGTGATCTAGGAAAATACTTAAAATGAACGTCTGGTATAGAACCAGGGCTTTTAAGTTTAAAAAAAATGATTTCAATGTGGAATAAAGAAAATGGATCGTTGATTAATTTATTTCGAACATCAATCACCTATGATAACATAGGAAATTGCGGTATGAACAAATGTTTAATTATCACTATTTTTATGCCAAATTACTAAAAAAATAATACAACACTCTGACACCAACATTTTATTCAATTTCAACATCGATAAAAGTATTTTAAAGCATTTTATGGACAGAACAATAAATCATTGAAGAAAACTTCAATAGAAAATATATATACCTACGAGAAATAAAATATAGATTCATTATTGTCCTAACACAACCTCGCATTACGTGAGAAAATAATACCAAATTATGATTTAGGTAACAAGATTTAACAACAACAGTTGCTGTCTAACGCCCGGTTTCTGAAAGGCTTGTCAACGCTAAAATTAACTAATCTCCTGTTAAATCTCTTGTCAAGTGTCAATTGGGTTGCATAAAGCATGATTAATCAACTAATTTGACCATCATGTCAGTTGACATGGCTGTCAAATCAACTCAAGATTCGAATGATTATCGCAAATTTGGGTTTCTGAAACGCTGGTCAAGCCTTGATCATAGATTATTCGTCTGTCAAAAGCTCGGTCAACTAATCGGTGCTTGTTGGCGAATTAACTTACGAATACAACTGATTTTTCACGTGAGCCTACATTTTCTCTTCAAATAAGTATATTTATTTAAGGTATGTTGAACAGAAATATGTATTACGAAATTTTATTTGTAATAATACAATTTTCTTTGTAAGTGCAAATTATTTGATATCTTGATTAACTTACATTGATTCTGGTTTTAGATTACGATAATGTTTCTTTCGCATAGTAGCATGATGAGTATCAGCATATCCAGCAACGATGATGATTTAAGACCAGAATGAATCCGTTTGATTTTTACAATGAAGGGGAATTTAAGAATCGGTACCAACCAACGGACAAAGGCGTTTGTGCTGTTACTAGTTAACATGTTAGAGCCGAATATTAAACAGTTCACTTTGAGGAACCATTCTATCAGTGCTTTGGAATAGGTGCTACTGACAATAAGCTATTACCATGCCACATGAGCATTTCAAATTACGGTTGCTGAGAGCGCACAAATCTACGGCTTGTAGAATAATAACAAAAGAATTTGCAGCGATTACTATGCCCTGTAAACATGAAGATTGCACAAGGATAAAAACAGAATTCTACAAAATTAGCTCTTTTCCAAATGTGATCGGGGCATTTGACTGCACACATGTAAAGATACAGTCTACTGGTGGGCGAGCTGAGCTGTCGAGGAACAGAAAAGGATATTTCTCAAGTATATCTTAGGATACTTCAAGAACGAGGGCCGGGCACGCTATAATAGCAGCGGTAAGATCTCTCTTTGAAGAGTGGCTTGAGAAACGCCACGGCGTCCTCACCTTCCGCCTGACGCAGGTGCTTACCGGGCACGACAGCTTCGGTAGGTTCCTGTTTCGGATCCAGCGTAAGGAAATGCCCGAGTGTAGTCATTGTGAGGACCACCTAGAAGATACGGTGGAGTATTCGGTGGCGGTATGCCCTGCCTGGGCTGAACACCGCCGTGACCTCAGGGAAGTGATCGGCGGCGGCGACCTCTCGCGCCCGGCCTTAATCGAGACCATGGTTCATAGCGAGAGGAACTGGGAAGTTATCTCCTCCTCCTGCGAAGCAGTTATGCTCGCAAAGGAGGAGGCGGAGCGCGCGAGGGAACTATCCTCCTCGCGCCCCAGCCACCGCAGAAGGCGACATTCCGGGCGTCGGGGATCGAGAGATGATCTCCGGCCACCGTAAGCGCGGGTCTGCGGACGGCGAGTAAGGGAAGCTCGCCACCCGACCAGAACCAGACCCGAGCGTACGGCGCGTAGTGTTCCGCGCGCGCCTCAAAGAGTTATTCGACCACCACAGACGGGGCCCTAAAGGGCTGATGTTCAGCCGGGGTTGCGGGGTAAGCGCAATGAGGTACCGCGACCTCGGCCCAGAGCAGAAGAAGGAACAGGGGGGTTTTTAGTCAATAAGAGTCTGACACTTCCTCCCGCCCGACCCTGAGCAGGAGAAGTCATTTGATGATTTTCCCCTCAGAAAAAAAAAGGATAGTTCAAGAAGATATGGGTGCTCTTTCAGTGATAAATGAAAACACTTCTGTGCTCACATCTTTGTTGTTGACTCATTTTAATTGTTAAGTAATATTAATGGTTTGTATTTTTAGGTGAATACAAAGAAATAACCATATTATTAATATATTTAATTATTAATCTTTATAAAAAATATAATATAACACTTGAAATATAAAAACAAGTATATTATCTTACTTACATATATACATATTTAGTTAGTATAGTAACCTACCAATATTTAAATTAAATACTAATAATGTATATTTCTTAACCAAATAACTTATTTTATTTCGAAATATATGCTGTTTTATAGTTAACCGCTCTTCTAATAACTTCTTTTTTTATTAAATACTCCATCTTTATTTCATTATACTTCTTATTATTTTGTTTCTGAGTGTCTGCCTCTCATGTTTAAATTGTTTCCTTGATGTGCAAGTTAAATTACCTGTAAATAAATTTCATTAAAGTTGCAATAACTATTCTTAATACATTATTAGGTACTTAGTTAAGAAATCAGGACAGGTATTTAATATATCATAATCTGGTAACGGTTACAATATTCTGACTAGCTAGTGTGGGCACTATAAAAGTATTTTAAGATCAAAAACTTACATGTTTATTGGCTATATTCTGTCTCGTAGTTCTTTTTAATTCCAATAGGCTGTGATTAGCTGTTTTTGGCTTCAAGACACTTCTGCATTACTTTTGAATTCATTCATTATGGTTTCCCGAGTTTAATTTTTATTAGTACTAGATATAGTATTTGTGAACTGATTATCAATTATGTGCTTGTATCTGTAATAAAACATTGTGCGTATTATACATCAGTCTTGGCTGCAGCGCAGGATGTGAAGTATAAACAAAGATATTTAATACTTTTTAACAACAAGAGGTTTATAAAACGCAATAGGTAATAAATATATGTTTAAACTTTGACTTAAGTACTTCTGAACTAGTTCTAAAAGAACATGCCTTTCCCTTTCGATGAAATTCTTCCCTCGTTATGCCATTTTAAGGAAGTTTAGTTAGCATTTTATTGAAATTGTAACTTGATATTTAAATTTCGCAGAATTGTTTGACATCAATGACAGTCCGTAATTTTTTTAATATTAACATATTTGACAGATAAGAATGAACTATTGAACAAAAAAGAGCATTGTGGCTATGACTAAAAATAAATCGCATGTCAAATCAAAATAATCATAGATTAGTTAATTATGCCTTGATCAACGTTTCAGAAACTCAAATTGATTTGACAGTCATGTCAAATTAATCGCAGTGTTAGTTGATCAAAGAATTGACAAGCCTTTCAGAAACTGGGTGTAAGTCAGCAATTATAATTTCACATTGCGTATATTTTATAGAATTATTCTGTATAAATGTAATATATTACCTACAGGTATTGTACACACATCAAGAATAACTTTATTATTAGGTACCTACATTTTAAAACACCATAAATTGGCATCATAGGCCTATATTAATACGAATATAGAATTCAAATATTACATTACAATACGGATGATCTTAGGTCCTATAGTTACCCCGACACCACAAAGAAACAATCTTTATATGTGTCTAAAGAAAAAACAAACGTGTTATTGGTCTGGGACAACGGCAGAGAATAAACAATGTAACTTTTGGCCGCATAATACCTATAGAATTTTGATTAGTTATACAATAAATATCTCATAAAATAACTTTAATTTTTAGGAGCTAAGTCAGGTATAGATAAATCCTATCCGTGCAATTACGCAACGCGACGCCTTTACGATTTCCGGATGAAAGAAACCTACAATAATTATGACCAATAGATTATTGGGCTGGTTGGGATAAGACTTGGCAATCACATTTTAGTCCATAGACGGCAAAGATGCTAATGCTCAAGCATCAAATATGTGAAACCGTGCCATTCTTTCGCGACACGCCAATCCACGCCACACAAGTGTGTCTCAAACTTTATACATGTCTTTCTAAAGTAGTAGAATCCGCCAAATTCTCCGTCATAACCTGAAATTCAACAAACTTGTAACGAACAACGTCATCCACGCTAAATTCCGTGTTGATTCGTTGATTGATTAGAATACATTGGCTGATCTGATTGCTTTCAGTATAGGCGTCAGCCAAACATATATAAGTGCGTAGTATCAATTTTCGAATGCGATCAAATTGATCATAGTCGCACGTGATAGCCAAATTCAGAAAAGCTTCGGCAATCTTCAGTTTAGAAATCGTCGTTTCAAAAAAACGGTTGTAATAAGCGTGCGTGGCTTCGTTGTGCAATCTATAAACTTCTTTCTCTATTATTTTTATGTTCTCGTCTTCTTTTGCTGCGTCTGTGAAGAAAAAAAAACTTAATGTCAAATGCGCTTTTGGCGGGTAACAGTTTTGAGTGATGAAAAATAAACTTTTTTGAGTAGGTACCTAGTTGTTCGATGTATTATATTTATTCCGTGAAAGGTTTGCCCCGGTACCCAAATTTCTTAATAACACACCATTGAAGAAGAGGCCTATACCTATGCAATTTCGGAGCCTCCCTAAGCCGTTATTATCTTTTTTTTATTTTTTCTCTTTTTTTCTAAAATAAGCTTGGAACGCGATTTAAAATCGAGTACCTCGTGAGCCGAGGAGGTAAATCAACAAATGACTTCTCGTCCAAAGCGTAGCGAGAGAGAATGTCCTTGCCTTAAACTACCTCACTAACATCGAAAGGGTCGCAAAATCCCAATATCACGCTCTACTTTACAAAAAATTTCTTCTACAGGGAGCTCCCAACAGCCATACAAGCACAACTTAAAAAGCATTAGCAAAATTGGTCCAGGCGTTGTGGAGGTTTTTGCTTACCAAAACATTTAGCGATTCGTTTATGCTAACAAATGTCAAATGTAGCGGCACGATCACGTCGCTACATTACTTAGATACGATAGAGATAAGACACACATGTTAATTGTTGCACGTTTGTTAGGATAGCTAAATCTGAAAATCTCACGCATCTTCTTAGTATATAAGCACCAGCAATTAAAGTAATAAACAGACCTTAACCATCTACGGTCTCATTATTTACCTTGCCACGAAGTCTGGCAAATTGGTGACCCGACGAAGAACAATCAACATGACTCATTCACCCTGCAAATCAAGCAGCAGCCAACAAGAAGCCTTGGAGATATCAGCCGGAACCGGAATTTTGGAGGGACCAACCCAGATTATGGTTTAAGCAACTAGAAGCCATAGTAGCACCACAGAAGCAAGGAGACGATTACAAGTACTATACGGTCATTGCAAAACTGCCAAAAGAAGAAATAATACAGGTTAGTGACCTCATTACTTGCCCACCGCCAATAGAAAAGTACAATGCTATCAAAGAACGCCTAATCAATTGCTATGAGGAATCAGACCAACGTCAGCTCCAAAAATTATTGTCTGAAATGGATCTCGGCGACCAGAAACCATCACATCTTCTGCGCAAGATGCGGACCCTGAGTAACGGAAATATCAGCGACGAAACCATCAAACTTCTATGGTTGAGGCTTCTGCCACCATCAGTGACTTCGGTTCTAGCAGTCACAGAAGACATAGATGTGAACAAGATGAGCCAGATCGCGGACAAGATATTAATAAATTCAACACGTACAGAGGTGTCAGCTGTAAACGGAAACAAATCTGGCGACGATACAATGTCATGCATACTAGCACAGTTAGCAGAAATGCAATTGGAACTAAATGCAATTCAGCAAGGTCAAAAAAACTATCGACGCAGCACTCAAAGTTATTTCAATCGTCGGCATTTCCTACCACAGTCAAGTTCAAGAGAAAGAAGGCACTTTTGTTTTTACCATGGAAGATTTAAAAAATATGCACAAAAGTGTGTTCAACCTTGTGATTGGAAACAGGATCTCAACTCAAGGAAACAGGGAAACTAATTGAAGCACGGACAACGGCGGAACTCTGTGCTATTCACCCGTCCAACCGCCTCACTATTACCGACCGAAAAAGTGGTATGAGATTTTTGATTGACACGGGAGCAAATATTTCAGTTATTAGCAAGCCACAGAGACATTCACTAATACAAGATGAACAATGTATACTTTATGCCGCCAATGGTACAAAAATTAAGACATATGGTGAAAAAACACTCTCTTTAAACTTCGGGCTACGAAGAAACTTTGTATGGAACTTTGTCATCGCCGATGTAACACAACCGATTATTGGAGCAGATTTTTTTAGAGCATTATAAGCTATTAGTCGATATAGCTGGTCGAAAACTCATAGATAGGGTAACTGAGCTGACAACGCCCGCAACCCTGATCAAATCGACGCAGCAAACAATCCGCACTATTAACATTGAGACGAATCCACGCATTACTCAACTATTAAATGAATACGAGGATATTACGAAACCAGCCTCCCTCCACACTACTCCAAAACACAAGATTAAGCATCATATTATCACTAAAGGACCAAGGAAAATATAAGGAACGCAGTATTAACAGTTCACCCCTCCCGCACCGCCCCTTTGGCACTTATGACGGACGCCAGTTCGACCTGTGTTGGCGCAGTTCTGCAGCAGAAGTCAGGACGTAATTGGGAACCATTAGGATTCTTTTCAAAGAAATTAAGTGATACTCAACAAAAATACTCGACATTCGACAGAGAGTTGCTCGGAATATATATGGCAGTCAAACATTTTCAAAGGTTAGTCGAAGGAAGAGAATTTACTATCTTTACAGATCATCGACCTTTGACTTACGCATTTTCCCAAAAACCGTCATCTAATGATACGCCACGGCGAATACGACAACTGGATTTTATTTCACAATATTGTACCAACATTCAACATATAGAAGGACGTGACAATATTGTAGCAGACGCATTGTCACGGATAGAACAAATTGATGTGCCATCACCGATTAATTATGCTGATTTAGCAAGATGTCAGCATGATGACCAAGAATTATTACGACTTCGTAATAACAAGAATTTAAAATTTTCAATCAGCAGAAACAATCAGCACAAATGCAGTGGATAGTTCATCGACTGCCGCCGCCGTCACAACAAAGGCAGCAGTTTTTATTTCCTTCGAATTAGCAACAATGACATTACATTACGCATAGGATGTAATTTATCAGCAAGGTTAAGTTATTATATAATTAGGTACATACTAATTTTTTTCAATTTATATGTTAATTATTTTTAAAAGGGGGGAGTATATGTAGCGGCACGATCACGTCGCTACATTACTTAGATACGATAGAGATAAGACACACATGTTAATTGTTGCACGTTTGTTAGGATAGCTAAATCTGAAAATCTCACGCATCTTCTTAGTATATAAGCACCAGCAATTAAAGTAATAAACAGACCTTAACCATCTACGGTCTCATTATTTACCTTGCCACGAAGTCTGGCAAATCAAACAACACAATTTTAGCACAACTCATTCACTTCATCTGCATTACCAGTGTCTTTAAGAACATCTATTATTTGTGGGATTGTGGGAGACCCATCCTTTCCAGGGATACCACGGCCTCACAGAAAACCAGAGTAAAACAACCACAGCATTGTTTCGCCATATCAGTGAGGTTATCAGAGGCCCAATCCTTCAACCGCTCCCCCAATACCTAAATGTCCGAATCCCTTAAACCCAAGAGGCCGCCAACGCATCTGTAACTCGTCTAGTGTTCCGAATGTTTATGGGCCGTAACGATTGCTCACCACTAGGTAATACGTCTGCTCGTTTGCCAAAAAAAAACACCCATCCACTAAGGAAAGATATCCTTACCAATTTTCTTGTTAATGACAATTTTCTCGACAGCATTATAGTTTTTGAATGGCGTTGGCCCTACATCGCCAAATACAAAATATTCATCGAATGCTGAATGACGTCCTAGTAGATCTGGTGGTGATGGAGGAAATGGAGTCGTAGAACCGGTTCCGTGAGAAGTTGAAGGAGCGTTGAGGTCGTCCTCGGTTCCGTCCATATCATTCTCTGAAGTGGCATGGTTGTCTCCTGGAATTGTAATCAAAGAATAAAGTAGACTTGTACGGTTAACAAAAGACCACTTCACACAAAAATTATGCTGTTTTGTTGGTTTTTTTTTTCAAGAGTCTGATAATAGTTCGGGGTTTTTTTTACAACCATACACGGTATAGGTACGTCCTGTATTTTTCTTTTGTTTTTATGTAATAAGTCGGCAAACACGCAGACGGATTACCTGATGGTAAGCAATCAGCGCCGCCCATGGACACTCGCAACGGAGGAGTTACGAGTGCGTTGACGACCTTTTAGGGATTAGGGATTTGGAGATTTAGAGATTGGGGGAGGGGAAGGATTGGGCCTCCGGTAACCTCACTTACGCGGCGAAACACAACGCTGTGGTTATTTCACGCCGGTTTTCTGTGAGGTTCTCGCATATTTTTTCATTCATGCACAGTATACCTCCTGCATATCATTCTTTAAATATCTGTGCACGCTTCTGTTTCTTTAAACATACTGATATACCTAATAACTAACGATCTAATGTGGACCAAATGAACCATACCTCCCCAATCCATCTCCAAAATCTTATCGGGGCGGTGCCAATTGCTTATTGTCAGAGGTTCCTTTGCCGCTTTATGATAAAGAAAAGAAGGTTTTAAGAAAGAATATTTAAGAAGTTGGTAGGCAGTCAGGAACTGTGCATTTCCGCGAAACTTTCTGCCTCGCACAACCAAACTTTGAGATGATCTTTCGTCGGCGGGATTTCCAAACCGATACGACCCACAAACCTTCAATAAAACGCGCGGACTCATTCTTAAAAGGCCGAAAAGGCACTTGTAACTTCTAGTATTGTGGGAGTAGAAAGGCGGCGCCAACCGCTTACCAACAGACCACTTCAGACCACATACCAACATTATGCAAACCCATGACTACCCTCAATGTTAATGGGGACCAACATAACAATACACCTAAGTAAAGGAAAATTATCGGTCTATCAACAGCAGTCAGCAGTTCTTTGACTCTTACCTGAAATCACATAAAAGGAATGTTGGAAAGAGAATATGCAATGTTCTCTCTTCAATTCAGAAAGAAAATCGGGTAGTGATGCGGATCTTTCTAGTATGACAGTTCCTTTAATAATATTATTATCTGGCACTGCAGAAGTCTCGAACCATTTGGAAGACCCAAGTGCAGAATGAAGTGGAGAAACGATGATGCTCACCGGTTCTTTGCCAAATTTAACTGAAATGAGAAAAATGCCATATAACTAGTCTTGCTTTTATAATATTTGCAACGCCAAAAGCGTCACTGATATGTACGTTTCCTTTCATTGATCGTTTAGGATTTAGGAAATCCAATGATGTCCGCGCCAAAAATATAGAGACAAAATAAATAATGGGCTGCGCGTCAGGGAATCTCTATTTATCGGATGATGAAAATGAAGATGTAGACGTATTAATATTAGTCGTATTATACATATACAGTTTACTATTCAATTACTTTATCTATAAAAAAGTCGCATCATTATCCGTTGAGTAGTTTTAAAGATTTAAGCACACATAGTGATATAGGGACAGAGAAAGCTACTTTGTTTTATTCTGTGACTTAGAACTTAGTGTTTATATACTCTTTGTATAGATATATTGTATAAAAAATCTATGTAGTGATCATAAGGAACCAAGTAGGAGTAGGTAGAGCTATGCTTCAGCACGAATAAGTCGGCTCGACCGGAGTGATACCACGGCCTCACAGAAAACAGGTGTGAAGCAAAAGCGTTGTATTCCGCCTTGTGAGTGAGGTTAACGGAGGCCCAATTCCAGTCAAATCCGCAATCCCTAAATCTCCAAATCCCTAATCTCCAAAGATCGGCAACGCACTCGTAACTCCTCTGTTACGGGTGTCCATGAGTGGTTCTGATTGCTTACCATCAGGTAATCCGGCAGGTCATGTGCCGACCTAGTTCATAAACAAAGAGCCCATCGACTGTCCATTCCCCATGACTTCTCAGTTACTTCCTCAACTCTGTTTTAGCGACTTGGCGCCACGAATGTCATTGACCTACTAAATTTGACAAAGCCGAAATTACAAAAGTTGGTTGCCAGGCAACTGATCAAACAAGTGGCATCTTAGACGCATGACCATTACGCAGCCTACTGCTGCTATAAAAGGCGTGAAATTTGCCGCATTATCCTTAGTATACCCGAATCGACGTCGAAAGCCGCCATTTTGCGGCGCTTTCTCCAAACAGTTCCCGAAATTTTGTAAAAAAAAACTTTAATCTGTGATTAGAATGTGCACTTCTAAACCATTAAGACAACCCACAAGTGTTTTAGTGACGTTAAAATATCAAACAGGTGCAGTGACCTGAACTTACAATACGCATGCGTGATCATTGGATCAATATCTACGATTTCAAACATTGGTAATTAAAAAAATATTCTATTTAATATTGATTCTATTTCTATTTTTAAAAAGTAAAAAATATAAATGTCAATTTACGCGCCAAAATGCCATATTTTTACAAAAATGCGCTGCAAGCAAATTCGACTTAATAAAGTTAGTTTTTTATTATTATTACTTTGTTACACAAATAATAATACTTACGTGTTTCTTCTTCAAGTGATTTCTTGCAGCTCCAATAAAGCTGCGAGTCTGACATGTTTGAAGCAATAAATAAACAGTTTTGTATATTTAAATTTTACAATAAATAACTGCAATCTTGCACTTCGCTGATAGTGCTAACAGTATGTCAAATACGGATAGGGAACTGAAGGATATCATAGGGCGTAGGGAGACCTAAACTTTATAGATATCGAATGATACCTAGGTACGATAAATTTTTGATAGGTGCATCAAAAATTTATGTAACGTAGGTACCCACCTACTTGTATTTTTAGCCACGTAGTTAGGTACTAACATTTTATTTAATTTTGAAAATACCTATGCGTAGGACCTACTTAAATCGAGATATCAAAAGTCTTATATAGGTAATCTTATTCTTCGGTATAGCATATTCTGAATAAACCTACTACCTAATTATTCTAGATTTTGTACATTTTTATTTTTTTCATGGAATCCAATCAACAGTAAGTAAGTATTGTTTCTTCCAATATGAATGGAACATCTTTCCAAATATTTTTCTTTTTTTTTCACGTCAACATCATCGGCCTATAAGTGCCCACTGCTGAGCTAACGGAGAAAGTTTGAAGGCGGATTGGCTATTTCAAGCTTATACCTAATTAGAAATTATAAGTCTAGGTTCACCGTATTTCAGCTGTGTCTAAATAATCATAGAAAGTAGGTACCTAAATAAAACTCGGAAAAAGTCAAATTGGTACTCGACAGGTTTCGAACTCGCACCCTCATGCAATGATGTATAAAACTATAGATACGTTGTCCGCGCTCTAAAATGACAACATGAAATGAAGGCAATTGACAACATCGCGCTTAGTTACGCACCAACCTGCCGCGCGACGCGACGTTTGTTATTTTATATCGTGTGTGTAAACCTGTGCGAAACATAAAGAAAGCATGCCGTCGTGTGTGTTCAGACGATGTACAAATTATACTCCAAAAGATAAAGACAAAAATGTGTCATTTCATGCGTAAGTTCACCAAACAACCTATTTTTATTTTATTTTTTCGACGCCGGCGCCCGCCACCTTATGGCGGCCATCTTATGAAAATGTAGTTTTACTATTACTTATCAATGATGTATAAAACTATAGATACGTTGTCCGCGCTCTAAAATGACAACATGAAATGAAGGCAATTGACAACATCGCGCTTAGTTACGCACCAACCAGCCGCTCGATGCGACGTTTGTTTTTAATTTATATCGTGTGTGTAAACCTGTGCGAAACATAAAGAAAGCATGCCGTCGTGTGTGTTGAGACGATGTACAAATTATACTCCAAAAGTTAAAGACAAAAATGTGTCATTTCATGCGTAAGTTCACCAAACAACCTATTTTTATTTTATTTTTTTCGACGCCGGCGCCCGCCATCTTATAGCGGCCGGCAGCTACGTCACTCGTGCGCTCGACCAATGAAAATGTAGTTTTACTATTACTTATCCTGTGATGTAACTGAAGATGTATATTTATCTCCCTCTAGCAAAGGCATTCCACTATACGATGTCATATTTTCTTTCCCTTTCTTTATTCGTAGAAGTAGTTATCTAGTATTTTCGCCGTTTTTAAGCGCCGCGATGTTGGTTCATGACGTGTCTATATATAATACGTCATTGTTACTTATCCTGTGATGTAACTGAAGATGTATATTTATCTCCCTCTAGCAAAGGCATTCCACTATACGATGTCTTATTTTCTTTCCCTTTCTTTACTCGTAGAAGTAGTTATTTAGTATTTTCGCCGTTTTTAAGCGCCGCGATGTTGGTTCATGACGTGTCTATATATAATACGTCATTGCCCTCATGCAAGTCAAACCGCGCTAATTTGAGTATGAATATTCATCGAATGAAATATGCTACTTATTTCATTTCACTATCGAAGCAATACTGCGGATAATATCTACACACCCCGCTTCTTTGTTAGACAAAGAGATCATAGAAGTAAATGCGCCCAAAATGGTTTTTTTCTAAACGACCAAGCCTGAGGTTTTGCGTCAATAGTGGTAGATATTAAAACACTTAAATAATCCTACACGGTGTAATTCTGCTTGGCTGTCTCAAGGCGCAATGGCCCGGCTGAAGCGCTGCCGAATCCCACAGGGATTGCCCTCGGTGATGCGGTCATCTATATATCTTATTATATAAAAATGAATCGCAAAATATGTTGGTAAGCGCATAACTCAACAACGCCTGGAACAATTTTGCTAATTCTTTTTTTGATGTGTTTGTTATTGTCAAGAGAAGGTTCTTATCAAAGAAAATATTAGAAAAGTAAAGGGAAAGATTAGGAAAGAGTGACCCTTTGATAGCGAGATAGTTGGACCCGTGCGAAGCGGGGGGCGAGCCGCTAGTTTACTATATAAAAATGAATCGCAAAATGTGTTGGTAAGCGCATAACTCAACTACGCCTGGACCAATTTTGCCAATTGTTTTTTTTTTTTTTGATTTGTTTGTTATGGTCAGGAGAAGGTTCTTATGAAAGAAAAGTAGAGGGGAGATCTGGGAAAAAGGGACACTTTGGTCGTTAGCGAAATAGTGGGAGCAGGGGCGAGCCGCTAGTTTAGTATAAAAGTAGATTTTCTTGTCTGGCCTTAGCTTAGAGGTCACAGCAGAGGTTTAAAAATCCTAAAGGCTACCTACGTCAACATACATTGGCTTCTTCATTGACGTCATGTGATGATGTGACATTTTAAAAATCAATACAAAACGGGGATTCTTTATATCACGTACCTATACAATTTTTCCATGCTTTCCGCATTGAAGTGACGTCACGCAACTTTTCTAATCTACACTAATATGTCGGAAGTAGATATCTGATATTTGAAATTGGTCGGATTCCGAAAATTTTATTACTAACTAGCTACTCTCGCGCGGTTTCACCTCGCTCGCTCGCTCGGCTCCATTTAGTCGTAGCGTGATGTTTTATAACCTTTACCACTCAGGAACATTGTAGCTATCTATCAGTGAAAGAATTTTGGCAATCCTACCAGAGCGGTTCCAAAAATTACCCCCTACATACAAACTTTACAAATTTTACCTCTTTATAATATTAGTATTGATAGATAAGTATCCAAAAATATCCCTGAGGGCTATAGGCTATAAATTACCTATACACACTTACTTACTTGATATATGTATTTCAGTCAAACTATTTTAGGGTACCTACATTACTTTTATAAGCATGCGAATCTAGTCTAAGCTAGACATTTTAACTAACTGCCCGACTCCGCTTCGCATAGGGGTTCAACGTCGTATTCAGTCATTTACACCGAAACATTTTTTTAAGAATCTTGTTCTTATCTCATTATATTCACAACATAAAAAGAACTATCGGACTTTGTTTAGCCGTTTACGCGTGTTGATAAAACAAAATTGGGATTCATTTAAAAAAACGCACAATAAATATTATTTCGTATTAGCTGCCTTATTTATTATTTTCTCTTTATTCCTTTGGCAAATAAAACACATATTTAAATGTATAAAGCTCAATACATTACGACAGACTTTCACTGTATGCCAGCGGCGAAATATTAAACTTAGACATTGAATATAGGTAGGTAGGTACCTCCCTACCTATTCACCTAAGTCGGAAAAAGTAACATTGATACTTACCAGGTTTCGAACTTTCCTCCTGAAGCGTGAGGAGCGGGCGAATTCTTAACGTCTAATTTAGGTAGTGATCGAATAAACTAAGATTGCTTTTTGAAACTTTGGAAAAAGTGACTCCTAACACAGCTAGGAGAAATGGTTAGGTATTCGATTTCTATTGTTCAATTTAACTTTTCTTTCAAATGTAAATATAAAGATACATTCCCTTCCCAAAAGAAAAAGATCTCCAGCCTTCATAACACCTATACCTATTCAAAATAATTATGCTTATTTATAAAAATCTCGTGTCACGTTTTTTGACAATTGACTGCTGATTATTTTGTCGTAGGTACCTAGGCCTAAGCCCTACCCCTAATTAGGAAGGGTTGTTGGTTGTTTTGCGAGTCAACTAGGGTAGTTATTTTATATCATTTTAATAAGAATGTCTCGGCTTGATTTTATTTACTTACACTTTCCGTAAATTTTTATTTAATTTTAGCTAATACTTACTAAAACTAGACATACATAACGATAAATATGACATAAAATTTCGAAACGAAATATCGTGTTGTTGATATTTAATTGACATCAGACATCACTATTCCTCATCCCACTAGGAATTCCGGGATGAAGCGCTCCACCCCAAAAGTATTGATCTGTTAAACTATAGCTACTTCAATAGGTAGGTACCTACGTATCTACTTGTGTTACAATATTTATTTATGATTCGTTTAGCTTACGTTTTAAACAATCCCCGCCACCCATTGAAATCCGCAAAACTAGCGGAGTTCCAAGTGCGTTGCTTTTAGCAATAAGGGGTTTGAGTGATTTGGGGATTAGGGAATGATGGAACGAAAGAACATAAATCTGTGGTTGTTAGAGGCCGTGATATCACTCGGGCAGGCAAATTCGTGCCGAAACCTAGTTGTCCGACACTTAATTTCAAGCGATATTAAAATGAAAAAGGAGACGCTAAACTGTACTACATAATATGATTATTTTTCATCGTACCTACTTTCATTGCAAAATTTAATTATTATAATTTCAAAACACGATTCACAAACAGTTTATTTTTGTTAAAAATACGAAACCCGAAGCGAATACATATTATTATCAAATTACGATCAAATAAAAACAACGAAAAATTACAGATAATTATGTAAATAATGTATTATTTACTTGTAAAACGGCTTCTCTTTATTTTGTAAGACTGAAAATAACACAAGGCGTGGTTTTCCGATATTTATGATTTTTCTTAAAAGACCCGAAGCCAAACAGGGGACCACGATCGATAGAAAAAAAAATTTGTTAGTGATGTTCAGTGTAAATAATACAATATCGGTTTAAATTAAACCGACATGTCGACCATAAAAACTATGGAGCTATTTCCTAAATTCGGTTGTTTACATTTCTAAAAATACCGAGTCACTTGTAATATTTTAAAATAATGTCTTTTGATTTGATTTGATTTAACAACAAACTTTTAAGTTTAAAGAAACCATTAAAAAATATAACATATATTTGATCGATGACTTCGTTAGATGTCTTCTCCCAACACTAAATACAGTCGGCTGTCAAATAAATGACATTTCTTATTTATTGATCGATCGAATTGGAATTTCTTGTACCTGCTTTCGAAATTCAAATTGAAAAAGTTTTTAAATAACTTCTAGCTTGCATTTAGAAGATGGAAGACCAATTAAATTGGGCAGAGCAGCCACAATTCCTCAATGTGCCCCTTGCTAAAGGAATAAATAAAAGGTAATTTTGGAATATCTTACTCATAAGAATCATTTCTACCGGCTCGCGTTACATATTTTTGTGTGCTTTGCAGTTTTTATAACATGATAGTTGATACGAGGTTTTGAATTGCTCCTTAGCTGTAGTCGCGCTTTGCTCATACTTGTAATTCAAATTGTCTTACCATTGTTATTATATTAATCCATTTATCATATGCGAATGTACATGTGCAAAATTAATACCTTCAATGTTTACATCATATTTTTTATTCAGTAAATTTTTTGTGTAAGTGCACTGTATATTTATTTATTTAAGTATTTATGTTAAAACATAATACAATTACATTAACAACAATAAACAAGAAATAACAATATAATTATGTTCCTCTCGCAGTATGTTATGCATTCCAATAAAATTGTCTTCCATTTATCTGCAAACATCATAGTTAAGCATGTCTATAGTTAGGGTTGCCAGGTCGCCAGGCCTTATAGCCGGACAAACAGCCCATTTAGCCGGACATTTGTCTAAAAAGGCGGGACACCCTACATTCTTAAGGATTTTGTATCTCAGTATTAATAGGTCCGACAGGATTTAATGTAAATCAAGCATTTTTGATCATTGTCATAAATCTTGTTGAATTCTTATGAAATAATTAATAAGTCTTTGCTTCGCTCGAGCCATATTCGGGGTTTCGTTTCACTTGTTTGCGATTGTGAAAAGTTTAGGTAAAAAGCCAAATAAAAGCCGGCAGGCCAGACACCGATTATTTTGGCCAGACTAGCAATCAAAAAGCCTACCTAATTCCGGCTTTATCTGGACATCTAGCAACACTATCTATAGTGCAAAGAATTGGTTACGAAGCATGTGTGACATTGGTATTGGGGTATGGCAAATTCCCTGTGTATTAACCTCCACAGTCATTGATTTGGATATAAAAGCGTGTTAACTCCTCCAGGAGACCTGGAGTATCCATAAATGTACAAGGCCACGTATAGATATGGTTCAATAAGCTTTCTTGCATAGCAGTGCAGGCCTTGGCTACTCCAAGGTATTCAGCTGCTCTTTCTTGCTTCATTGGACTGCACAGCATGTGTCCATACTATCTCCATTTCAAAGACTCATATCATTTCAGTATGTTACTCATTTAACACTACCTTTTATAAACTACTCCCGTATGGTTCAGTTGCTGTTGTGGCAGCATCTATTGGTCATACCATCACATTTTGTACCCAGGAGCCCTCCTTGATAAATAGACTATCCATAACAAAAGAAATAATTACATAATCAATACAAACCATTAGTTCTTAATTTAACTGCTTTCCAACAAAAAAATAACAGCTTTAATAAATGTAGTGTTTTGTTTTTATGGGATACACCTATGGATTACCTTATGCTTAGCAATGAGCACTCTACATAGACACTTGCAAAAATCACTTGCGATGTGAGACAACCACAGCATTGTTCCCTGTGTTAGTGAGGTTACTGAAGTTGCAATCATGCCCCTCCCCCAATCTCTCCTCAATGTTTAAAGCTCCGAAACTCCTCTGGTGTTGCCTGCTGTTGTCCCTGTGTGACACGGATTGCTTACCACCAGGTCATCTGTCTGCTCGCTATAATATAGATGTTTTTTTCCTGTCATTTACAGGGAACTCCTGGAAACTGGTCAGACGGAGTTCACGATTGACTTTGATTACAACAAGAAGGATACATTATTTGATGATGAAGGTGATCTGTTTGCTACTTATGATGATGGTGAAGATAGGTAAGTAACCAGTCCCAATATTATATTTATTTGCAAATATTGCCAATACTATACTCTCCTGTGTCGAAGTTGCGTTTACAAACATACAAAATTCTCATACACAAACCACCCAGACCCGAAATAACAATTGGGTTGTTTCCTTAGTCAAAAATAAATTAATTCGACGCGTCAATACAATAACATATTGAAAAATAACTATACATTTATTTATTTATCGATCGATCAATACACTTAAGTTTTAGATATTTTGTAGCTAATTATTATGAAATAAGTAAGCTATTTGACCCCAAAAACACTATGACGTCATAACTCAGTTTTTCATAGATACCTAAGTATCGTTTTTGACATTTGGTTAAAAGTACTGAATTTGACTGTCGTGGTGGCGCGGAGGTTAACGCGACCGCTTGTCATGCATGAGGGTGTGGGTTCGAAACCTGGCAACTACCAATGTGACTTTTTCCGAGTTATATGTTCTATGATTATTTAGACACCACTGACATACGGTGAAGGTAAACATCGCGAGGAAACCTGGACTTATAATTTCTAATTGTAAGTTTGAAATCGCCAACCCCCATTGACCAAGCGTGGTGATTAATGCTCAAACATTCTCCGTGTGAGGAGAGGCCTTTGCTCAGCAGTGGGCACTTTAGGATGATGATGATGATTATTGAATTTGACTAGTTGGAAACTACCGTATTAGTACATCACACAGTGTTCCGTGCGGGAATCGTTCTAATATTGTTGCTCAGCCACTCAAGCAACCGTGCAATCATCATCATCATCATCATCATGGTACTGTTCATCTAGAGCCGGTTTCTGTTGATAAACTTATGTGGCAGATGGTGGCCATTTTGTGTTGTCATCTCAAATAGAACAGAACTTTAGCTGGTTTTACTTGATGGTCAGCAATCGACGCTCATATACATGCTTGCAACTTCAAAAGAGTTACATAACTTTCCACATCCGCATGGAAGCATGGCTTTCCCACACATAAATGCGACGTGACCAAATGATTGAATAAAAAAAATTTGGTGCACATAAGCAAAAGCTAAAAAAGGTAAAAAAAATCATCAAATCCTATCTTACCTTCTAATATCCTTGTACAACTATTCCAGTGACGATGCAGACCCTTTAAAAAGTGTGGAAAAACAGGCCGAAAACATGCTACTAGCTTCTCCGGAGTACCAGTCCTTTGAGCAGTTAGCTGCTAAAATGAAGGATTGTTTATCTAATGGGAGTGTAAAGATACTGATTCTTGAAGAAGGTAAGAATTTGTTAGTTGTTCATTCCATTCATCCCATTCGTCAATTGTCTTTGCCGCCTAGGGTATGGCGAGTGTCAGACTCTTACTGACTAAAAACCCCTCGTTCCATCTCCTGCTCTAAGCCGAAGCGGCGGTACCTTATTGCGCTTACCCCGCAACCCCGGCTGAACATTAACACAATAGGGCCCTGTCTGTGGTGGTCTATTGGCTCGACGCGCGTGGAACGCAACGCTCGGTTCTGGTTTTAGTTCTGGACGGGCGACGAGCTACACTTACTCGCCGCCCGCAGACCCGCGCTTACGATGGCCGGAGATCATCAGCTCTCGATCCTCGACGCCTGGAGTGTTGCCTACTGCGGTATTTGGGACTTCTTTCTTTGCGATGTTTTTACAGGCGTGATAGTGCGTAGGTATTGGTCGTGAAGGAATACTTAACATAAGTATGAATAAATTTGAATATTTTGCCGCAATTACAGGGGGTAAGGGAGGGGAGAGTTCGCATTGGGCCTCCGGTAACCTCACTCACACTGCGAAACACAACGTATGTTTTAATTTTCGCCGGTCTTCTGTAAGGCCGTTGTATCATTCCGGTCGAGCCGGCCTATTCGTCTTCCACACTGTTTTTTGAGAAGGGAAAATTAGGAATTTCTTTTTCCCAGGGTATGAATGGAGGTAGTATCAGACTTATACTGACTAAAAACCCCTCGTTCCATCTTCTGCTCTAGGCCGAAGTGGCGATACCTTATTGCGCTACCCCGGCTGAACATTAACCCAAAAAGGCCCTGTCTGTGGTGGTCAATTGGCTCTTTGAAGGTCATCTCCCAACCTTGACGACATAAAAATGCTTTCGTCTTGTACATGGGGTAAATTATACACGATTTTATTTTCGTCTTTCAGGCGATGGACCCCTAGTGTCGCCCGATTCACAAGTGCTATTGCATTACGCAGCGTATTATGAAAGATCTGAAGTTCCCTTCGATACTTCTTTAACAAGTACCACTGGGACCACAGTTGGATTACCCTGCGTGAGTAACTATACATATTAGTATTATCCCATATATGTCTTTTTTTATGTGCTAGGTCGAAAAACTGGTGAAAACCTGATGGTAAGCGATCGGCGCCACCCATAGACATCCAATTCGCAAAAAATGAGAGTTGAAAGTGCGTTGCCGCCTGTCTTTGCGGATTTAGGGATTAGGGGATCTAGTATCGTATATATCGATACTAGATCCCCTAATCCCAATGAAGTTGTTTTAAATCCCATATATGATAGATATTTTTTTAACCCCCGACGCAAAAAGAGGGGTGTTAAAAGTTTGACGTGTCTATCTGTCTGTCTGTGGCATCCTGGAGCTTGAACGAGTGAAGCGATTTCAATTTAGTTTTTTTTTTTGTATTAAGGGTGAGTTACGTACGAATGTTCTTAGACATGTTTGACGAAAATCGGTTGAGCCGTTTAGAAGTTATGGGGGAAGGGTAACCGAAGGTCTGCAATTATACTCGAGTGGGGTCTCAAATGAAAGCGCACTGAAAGAGAATGTTGATGACTTAATCGATAGGAAATGATATAAAAAGTATAAAATAATAAAAAAAATTAGACCCCGACAAAATAGAAATACCTATGTAGTTGATAATAAAATGTATGGATCGGTCCCCAACGCCGTTTTCTCGTCGTTTTTCTTGTCGTTTTCTTTTAATTATTACTTTTTAAAGCAATATTAGATTTTTTGTCGGGGGTTTTCTAAATTTTAAATTTATTATGGAATAGATAGGCTGGCCTTTTATGGATAAGGGTTTCAGTTATTTCAGGATTGGGAAAGGATGAGGAGAGGAGGGTGATTGGGCCTCCGGTAACCTTACTCACACGGCGAAACACAACGCTGTGGTTGTTTCACGCCGGTTTTCTGTGAGGTCGTGGTTTCATTCCGGTCGAGCGGGCCCATTCGTGCCGAAGCATGGCTCTCTCACATTTCATTGAAAGTATGGAATTTTACTAGTTGTCAAATACCGTATGTATTTTTCAGCGTTACCGAATGGGCGTCGGTGAGATCCTAACCGGTTTAGAAGTTGGACTTCTCAACGTGAAAGGTCCGAAGGCGAGATTCCACTTGTTACTACAGCCAGATGTGACTTGGGGTAACCTTGGCGTCTTGCCGCGGATACAGCCAAAGCCGGTCCTATTTGTTGTATGTTTATACGATGTTAGATGCGAAGCGGCCGCTGCTAGGTGAGTTTTTTATTAATATTATTACTTCAATACATAGTATAAAACAAAGTTGATTTCTCTGTCCCTATAGTTTTTTTCTGTACTAATATTATAAAGAGGTAAAATTTGTAAGTTTGTATGTAGGGGGTAATCTATGGAACCGCTCTGGTCGGATTGTCAAAATTCTTTCACTGATAGATAGCTACAACATTCCTGAGTGCTATCGGCTATAAAACATCACGCTACGATCAAATGGAGCCGAGCAGCGAGTGAAACCGCGCGAGAGTATCTAGTATGATATAAGTCGGTAATCGAGCAGACAGATTACCTGATGTTAAGCAATCAGCGGAGCCCATGGACACTCATATCAACGGAGAAGTTACGAGTGCGTTGCCAACCTTTTGGAGATTAGGGATTGGGGAAGGGGGAGGATTGGGCCTCTGAAAACCTCAATCACACGGCGAAACACAACGCTGTGGTTGTAACACGCTAGTTTTCTGTGAGACTCCGGTCAAGGCCGACAAACCGACAACGCTTCCTAGCTCTCCCACTCTTCAATCCACTGTTCGACAAAGGCTTTTGTCCAATTTCCTCCCATGCGACATTGCCCCCTAATTAACGATTTGTAATTTTTATTTCAGATTCAACGATCTACCGTCTTCGGAGCAAATGAAATTCGAAACAACAGTTACAACCATAAAGGATATCCGTGCCGTTGCCAAAGATTTATTCAGAAGAAAAAAATATACACAAGCTATTCGAAGCTATGAACAGGGCATCTCTATATTATCTATGTGCCAACCACAGACTGAAGAAGAATTGAAAGAAGTTAACGATCTTAAAGTAGCCATTTTTGTTAATCTGGCAACTTGCTATCATAAAATAAATAGACCTAAAAACATTTTAGGCGTTTGCAAGCATATTAATAGAATTATTGATATAAACACACACTGCAAAGCTTTGTTTTATTACGGTAGGGCTCAAGAATCTTTAGGTAAATTGGAAGAAGCAATCTCTTCTTACAAAAAAGCTCTTAAGCTAGAACCGAAAAACAAAGAAATTGGCAACACTTTAGCCGATTTAGATGCTAGGCTCAAAAAAGCGAAAGTAGACGAAAAGGCCATGTGGCGTAAGGCATTGAGTAAGAATGCAGAAATACCTATACCCGAAGAAAAAAAATTAAGCTACGTTGTCGATGAAGATTTTAGAAATGGCGTCTTTGACATGTGTCAAGATTTGGCGGGAAGGAAGGAGTATGCTAAATTCGATTTGCCACCGGGTTTGACGAAAGATGAAGTTGTTTGCATAAAGGATTTGACGAGTGAATTTAAAGGGTTAACTGTGTTAGAAGATGGAGAGGGAAAGCGGAAGAAGGTTTCCATTGTGAAGCAAGTTTTGTAAATATGCCATATTTTTTCTTTTTCTTTTGAGGTTATTTTCCGGTTATTTTTTTCTCTGGTATACATTCAATGATACTCTGACGAAAATACCGTGTTGCACACATTAGGGTAGCTATATTAAGTGTTTTTTTCGTAGCTTTAGCTAACGAAGCGTTCTAAGGCGTGAAAAAAGTAATACCTAAAATAGGTACTACAAAAATCGTAAAGAAGTATAAATAAGGACTATAACACAAAATAAGAAAAGTGCGATTAACGATCAATGACGTATTATATATAGACACGTCATGAACCAACATCGCGGCGCTTAAAAACGGCGAAAATACTAGATAACTACTTCTACGAGTAAAGAAAGGGAAAGAAAATATGACATCGTATAGTGGAATGCCTTTGCTAGAGGGAGATAAATATACATCTTCAGTTATGCCGACGGCACGTGACTATACCTTCATGCGCCGGCCGCCATAAGATGGCGGGCGCCGGCGTCGAAAAAAATAAAATAAAAATAGGTTGTTTGGTGAACTTACGCATGAAATGACACATTTTTGTTTTTGAATTTTGGAGTATAATTTGTACATCGTCTGAACACACACGACGACATGCTTTCTTTATGTTTCGCACAGGCTTACACACGATATAAATTAAAAACAAACGTAGCGTCGCGCGGCAGGTTGGTGCGTAACTAAGCGCGATGTTGTCAATTGCCTTCATTTCATGTTGTCATTTTAGAGCGCGGACAACGTATCTATAGTTTTATACATCATTGTTAACGATATTATTAGAGACGATATCGTTAGTCGCTACTCAATAGGGTTTGCACCAGGGGAGGCCGGAGACTCACTCAAACTAAAAACCTTGGCAACCCTGAATTTGTTGCCATACTAGGTATACGAATATTTTCCTATTAGATATCAGTTACTGTAACATATTGATGTTTGCAATAAACGCGTTAGCTCGCGCCATTATTTGTAAAGGACAGCTTAGGGAACAAATTTAATTTTCTGAACATGATATTTGTAGTACTAAGTACCTATATTATGCTTAATAATAAGTACCTATTAGTAGTAATAAGTACCTATATTATGCTTTGCTAACATTACAGTTTTGTAATTAAATTACATTTTACTAAAGTAATTTTGGCTCAAAGCGGTTTGAAACTAGCAGAGTTCTCTTACCAAATATCTACTTAGTAAGTTTTTAATCCTAATAATTTTTTATACATATATTTTTTTGATAACTTGACGTTTTGTCTTCCTCTATAGTCGTACGGCTCAATATGAGTGACAAATCTCAATGTTTAAAGCACAAAAAATGTGTTTTTGTCGTACAATTTTGTTTAGGATTTAGTGTTGTAAGCTCAAAAATTTAGTTTGTAAGGAGCCTAGTTGGTGGAATTCTGTTTACAGAAGAACAAAAGTTTATGTAGGTTACAAGTACTATACACATTCTAAAAAATCTTCATTTGTTTTTTATTTTGAGGCGGTCTAAAGGTCCACAATGATATTATAAGTAAAATGGTGTAGATAGGTTACGTAATCAAAATTCGATTTTCAAAAACGACACACTGATACACACATGAACAATTCGTATGTTTAGACGTCAAAGTGAGATGGCATGATTCAATAATCGCGAGTGAAAAAGAGACAATTATAAAAAAGTGTGGCTAGTTAGCCACATTTTAATGTATAACTTGCTGAGCGCTTGTAACCTATCTACGCCTTTTTACCCGACTGCCAAAGAAGGAGGGTAATGTTTTTCGAGTGTATGTAAGTATGTATGTATGTCTTTTCCTTTGTGACCTCCTGTAGCCTAAACGGCTTGATGGATTTTGATGTATGAGGTATCGTTAGATTTGTCTTGATTACGGGAGTGTCATAGGATACATTTTATCCTAAAAGTCCCACGGGATAAAGACATAATAATATTTTTTCTAAATTTCCCTTTAAAAAAATATGTATGCGGTATCATTAGATTCATTTCAATCACGGGAGTAACGTTAAATAAAAACAGCTAAAAAGTTATAAATAAAAAAATTATTATTAAAAAAACAAAATACCCGACTGCACACTAAAAAAAGAGTGAAACAAGCCCCACAATACAAATTTACTGAATATAATTTATAAATGTTGATGGAAAGCATCGCAGGCGGGGACCACCTTGACCGCCACCAACGAAAATTCTGCTAAATGGTGCATAACAGAAATGACTATAAATAAGCCTCTGTTGGTCCCCGCCTGCGATGCTTTCCATCAACATTTATAAATTATATTCAGTAAATTTGTATTGTGGGGCTTGTTTTACTCTTTTTTTAGTGTGCAGTCGGGTATTTTGTTTTTTTAATAATAATTTTTTTATTACTTATAATATCATTGCCTGGCAAGGACTACGAATGTAGCTTTTACCGAGTTACATGTACTTTCTAAGATTATTAATGCCCGGTTCCTATATTTAACGAATCGTCGTTGTATACGCATTACGACCAAATGACATTACGAATAGTTATCTTGACCGTCTACTGACGGTTAAAATATTTATAGGAAAACCACAGACACCATAGATCTCCATACAATTCGCTTGCCGATATCCGTTAGTTGCAAACCGTCAGTAAGTTGCACGACGAGACGTTTATTATAGGAAAGGTTTTAGCTTACGAGTCGTATATAAAACTACTATTCGTAATTAAAACGGATCGTTTCTCAATTATAGGAACCGGGCGTTAGACAACACTGACATACGGTGAAGGAAAACGTCGTTAGGAAACTTGTACTTATAATAATTTCTAATCATAAGTTGTATTTCGCAAGCGTGTTGATTAATGCTCAAACGTTCTCCGTGTGCCACTTACAGACTGGCGAGGTGTGTGTAGATGTTTTTTTTTTATGTGATAGGTCGGTAAACGAGTAGACGGATTACCTGATGGTAAGCAATCAGCGCCGCCCATGGACACCCGCAACGGAGGAGTTACGAGTGCGTTGCCGACCTTTTAGGGATTAGGGATTTGGAGATTTAGGGATAGGGGGAGGGGAAGGATTGGGCCTCCGGTAACCTCACTCACGCGGCGAAACACAACGCGAATTCGTGCCGAAGCATGGCTCCCCCACACATGTATCTAATAAATTGATAATCTTAAGTTTAATAAAGTGCTAGTCACAATATAAATTTAAAATTTGTGTACGGTACTTCATATGTTACATATTGTCTTAGACATTTAGTTTTAAGAATTATAATGTCCTACTAAATGATTAACATAGTTGCATAAAACGCTCGCTTAAAATTGAGAAAAGCTAAAAGTATTATTGATCGGCGCGCGCCGCTCATGAATATGAGTCCCGTTGTGACTTGAGACTAGTCGAGCTTTTCTCGTTAATTCACGTGTATATTTGAGTTTTAAACTCATGATAGTTATCACCACTTCATAATATAAAACAAAGTCGCTTTCTCTGTCCCTATATCCCTATGTACGCTTAAATCTCTAAAACTACGCAACGGATTTTGATGCGGTTTTATATTTAATACATAGAGAGATTGAAGAGGACCGTTTAAATGTATAATAACATCCATTAAATAGTGGAAAAATTTGTATTAGCCTTGCAACCGTTCAATGTGTATGTGAAATTGTATGTTTGTAAACGCACCCACGTCATAGGCATGGGTATAAGTTTAATTAATTAGTGTAATGTCTAACCTATGTGTATTCCTTTTGGGATTAAAATGCTGGTACCTATGTAAGGTAAGATAGTTTAACATAGGTATGTCTTAGTTTTTAAAACTATATAGTCATTGGAAGCCTAAGATTAACTTGATAATTAGGTACTAAAATATTAGTATTTAAGATGTTATAAACATTCTTGTACCTAAGTATGTAATTTGTGATGATTTTGATATTGTTTTTTATTGTAGGTAGGTACTTAAAGTAATTATATTTTTTCGACATTTTAGATCGCCATTTTCTTATACGATTTTCTAAGTAAAAAATTATAGAAACTGCGATACCGACTTTGATGAGATTCAGTATTCATATGCCCGCCATGTGTCAATATCGCAAAAAATAAGTAGGTATAACTATTGGGTAAAAATATTAAAGTGAGCAGTTTTACGACATTTTAAGTGGAACAAAAATTTATTTTTATATAAAATACTTTTATTGATACATATAAATAATCTAGATGAAGCCAGCATTTCCTATCTGACTACTCTAAGGGTTGATTTTTCAATGGTTAGATAAAAGTTAGATGGGGAATAATTATGATGCTGTCGCGTCAGAATGTTTTTATAAGACAGTGACAGCAACAATTTTATTCTTCAGATAACACTAATCTGACTATTGCAAAATCAGCCCAAGAAGAAGTACCAAAAAAACAAAGAGGTCAGAGACTTTTTTCAGTTCAGAAAAAAACCTTTGCTCAGCATTGGTCACGTATAGGCTGATGCTGTATGGCTAGATATTACTTAGTGTGGCGATCCAAATGTGTATACCATTTTTTTTTCTAAGATTTTTACAATTTTGAAATAAGTACAATATTTGCTTTTTTCTGCCTAATTGTGATTCTGTTATGTACTCTGTAAGTTTTAAATATATGTAAACATTTTTTTTAAGGAAATAAAAAGTACATTCCAATTAACATTTTTGTTTTATTTTAATTGTGGAACATGGTTTTTAGATAGGCTATTGATGAATTAAACGACGATTTGAAAGATATAAATAGTTTTATTTAGTAGCTTGAGAATTTACAACATGTTTGTATGGATGCGTATTGCAAAGAGAAAGATGACAAGCGCAAAAGGCACAGAGTATAGAACGGTGGTCATAGACCATTTCATATTATCTATGCTACACTATAGTAGTCGAAAAAGGCGACAAATTTAAAACATGTAACACTCCCTCTAAATTTTAGCCTTGTTCTACTAACTTTACATACATAGAGAAACATATTTTGTGCATACTGCCATCTTATCACAATATTATATTGGGTACATATTAATCAAATGATTACAGTATGTATTAAACCCAATACAAAA